CTTCTAATAAAGATCTGGTCCGGAGTGGAAGTGCTTGCTGCAGGCTGCCACTGAGGCTACGTAAATCTTTATGCATGTGGGTGCAAACTGAGATACAAGAAATTTCATTTAAACAAAAGTAAAAGCTTTTTTTCCCATAAAGGTCGTCAAAGACCAGAACAGAGAGGCTGTGGAGTCTCCAGCCTTGGAGACATTCAAACCCCAACTGGTGGCAGCCTGCTCTAGGTGCTCAGAAACTGCACCCAAAGCAGCGGCTGTGGCTCTGTCCCAGCCCACGCCTTTAGCCCCATGATCCTGCCCTTCCGTAAGTCTGTGATCCCCTTTGGGGCTCCAGCACCTATTCATCTGGAGAACTAAAGCATGGAACAACAGTTTAATTGCAGCATCTACACAGCAGGCCAAGCCGACAGCAGAAGTCCACGTTTCCCTTCACCACCACCAACCTGTTTTCAAGGCAAGACGACGGATCTTTGGTTGGGACCTAGTGGGGCTTCGTGGCTTTACAGCTTCTGCGCTCCACACAAGAGAAATGGGACGCAGACAGGAACAGTGAGACTCCATGAGTCGCTTTGATTAGGGAAATGAAAGGTTTTAAAAATAAGACATAAACATCTCCCACACCTTTGAAGGCACGGTCTAAAGCTGGTGGAGCCAGTGAAGCCCACAAGTTTTCCGTATGGCCTTAAGCGTCCTGTGGTTCTCCTCATGCATCAGGGATTTCCACGCCCCGGGGTACCTCAGCTCCCTGTTACCCCAGTAATGAAGAGTATTTGGATGAAGAGACCTGAAAGTAAAATTTGGAAGTTCCTCAAGCCTTTGACTCATGCAAGCAGATGAGGCTGTGTTGGGCTGAGGGGCAGCCTCAGGAGGCCTCAAAAGGCTTGCAGTATTCACCAGATCGTCAGGAAAACCAGGCTGCCGTGAATTCTGCATGGAGGTAGACAGTTTACAAACCTCTCCTGAAACTATGCGGGTAACACACCTCACTGAATGGTGGCATCTTCTGGGAAAGGGCTAATGGCTCAGCTGGCGAGGGGATTTGGGCAGCTCCATACATTTTGTTTGTGGTCGTTTTTATCAAATGCCTTTTCTTCCCTTCGGGTGCCAAAGGAGGCAACAGCCAGAACCTGGCTGCTAATTACAGCCTATAAAAAGGACTTTTGCTGTGCACTCACAGCAGTTCACTACTACCTTAAAATAGGAAATTTATTTCAAGAGCTTTTCTTCCCTGTAAGATGACATTAACTATAATTTACATTTTAATACAGCTCCTAGAAGGCAATAACATCTGCACTCATCTCTACTTAAATGTCTTCCTCACCTTCCTCCTCTTTTTAGTACTTGGCTAGATAACCGGTTTTCGAGGCACCCAAGCTCACTTGAACCTCGGCTCCTCAGCGCCCGGGACGAGTCCTGCCGGGGATGTCACGTGGAGGACACGGAGCCTCCTCACCCCAGGCACACTGTGGCCAGGGTACGGTCACCTGCACGGCCGTGGGGACGGAGGGTGGTGTTATGGGGAGCAGCGCTGCTGCGCTTCGCCGCAGCGCTGCAAACCCAGATGGAAAAATCCCAGATGGAAAAATCCCCAGGACAGATCCCGATGGTTTGATTGTGCTGAATCCCACAATCACGTCCTCTGAGCAGAGCATTTCCAGGTGGATGTTTCCATGGTGACTTGCCTCTTGCTACTGGGAGAGGAGGCTCAGGCTGGAGCTGGAAAAAGCAGAGCTGCTGTATTAACAACGCTGTGCGATGCTGGCAGCGGCACGTCCTGGAGGCTTGCACAAGCCCGTTTTGATCAAAGGCACTGGCAAGCATGGGAAGGTGCGATACGGAGACCTGGTCTCCAGTGCGGAGCCACTGGAGGACATGGCACATGGACAGATGCTACGGAGGACAGACTTGATCCAGCTCTTCAACAAAACAAGTGGAAAGCTTGAGGGACATCAGAAAACCAGAGGCATCCCCTGCAGCCCGATCACAACTCTGCAGAGCTCCTCAGTTCCCAGCTCTTGGTGCCAACGCCCTTCCCAAGGTGCTCAGACACCATGCCAGGGGGAGAACAGTGCAGAGTATGGAGGGATCTGTAAGGGAAAGCAGCGGACTGGTATCTGCATCTTTGGGAAATAATGCACCTCGTGATGAGCTTATCTGACCTGTGTGTCCTGTCTGGTGTTCCTGTACAGAAATGGTACGGTACAGGAAACCAAATCTGTGCTTCTGTCCTGTTTCTCATCCTTTCACACCAATCCTGATCACCAGTGACCTAATCCAATGGAAGAAACCGAGTTCCCTTGGGCTTCCTGGAAAATCCTGAGTGTAACCCCTGAAGAAGGGTCACAGACCAGCAATTCATTTCTGGAGATTCAGCGCTATGGACAGGAGCCCTTGGTGAGCGTTTCCTATATAATTAGTTCCCCTGGGAAATGTGACAACTGCTGTTTGCCTGCAAGAGCTCTGCAGCCAAAGCACCATGGTGAAATTGCAGAGCAAAGGCACCCCATGACCTGAAGGCCAGAAGAAGGCCAGAATTGTCCACCATGCTGCTGAGAGCTTAAAGGAGGTGCACACAGAGCTCAGTCCATGTGTACTGTGGACTAAGGAGAGATTTCTTACTGGGACAACACTGCAGGGAAGCTTCTATGTCCCCTGCTCAAACTGGCCCATGCCGTAGGGCATCTTCCCTTGGGGAAGACCATACTGGTCCTTTGAAAACCAGGGGCAGCAATGAGGAGCAGGACAGACAAGGAGGTCTGTCCCAGAGGTGAAGTGGGCACCTGGCCCCACTGCTCCTCCAGTTGTTATTTTTTTAAAGCCTGGGTTCTTAATCCGAATCCAAGTGTAGGGGGAGGTTGGGGAAAGGCAGGGAAACATCTCTTCCAAGTTCATTTCCTCCCAAACCTCTCCAAGTCTGGAGCAATTAGTGTTGGCCCACAGGCAAACGTGGATTTGTGCCTGCCTCCATGAAATATGTGTCAAGCCAAAGTAGGCCAGTCCTGAAGCCGAGCCAAGCCCAACTCCGGGAGCTGCACAGGAATGGGAACTTGGGCTCCCGGGTGAAAGGCACCTGTGGGACTGCGCCAGCCGGCAGGCTCTGTCCCTCCGTGCCTCTCCTCCTCGCTCACATGGTGCCATCCCGTGCCGTGATGCCGTGACCAACCTCGCAGCAGGCAGGAGGAGCAGCCCACGGAGAGATCAGCTGCAGCCAGGGCGCTGCGGCTCCACGCTGGCTGCTGGAGCAACTAGTTTGGATCTGAAAGGGCTCCTGGGTGGCACAGCTAAGTCTCACCGGTCAATCTATCTGCTCATCTCCTCCTCAGCTGACTTGCTCTGGGGACGTGGCAGGGGCAAGTGGACACACAGGCCAGGCTAGGATGCTCTGGTCTCCTATGGGAAGGGGTGAAGCTGTCACCGCAAGCCAGCGGCCAATGTTGTCCTGTCCTAATGTGAACATCAACCAGGACAACCCCCATGGCCCTGCAGCAGGACCCACCACGGGTCCAAATTCAGTGCAAAGTGCGTGCCGGGGCATGTGTAGGAAGAGGCAGCGCCGAGCACGCAGCACGCTGCTGCAGACGGGGCAGGCGGAGGTGGGGAGGTGGCCCCTCTGCTGCACAGTCTCACACCCTGCACACCATCCTTTCTGACACCCTGAAAGGATTCCCGCTCCCTCTGCAACGCCTCTAGAGCTCCAGAGCCTCGGGGAGAAAGCTGGGGGCTTTGTTATCCCCCCCAGCCAGCTCCAGCCTCGGGCAGCGGGGGGTCGTCCCGTCGGGAGGCAGCTGCTCCAGGCACAATGCTGCTCCCCTTTCATGTCTCCTCGCATTCCCCTGACCCTTTGAGCGAGGCCAGCCCAGCCCGTGCCCAGCTGGAGCTGCAGGTGCTGTCTTTCGTAGAATCATAGAATCGCTTAGGTTGGAAAAGAGCTTTAAGATCATCGAGTCCAACCGTTAACCTAACTCTGCCAAGCCCACCACTAAACCATGCCCCTAAGTGCCACATCTACACTTCTTTTAAATACCTCCAGGGATGGTGACTCCACCACTTCCCTGGGCAGCCTGTTCCAGTGCTTGACAACCCTTTTGGTGGAGTAATTTCTCCTAATAACCAATCTAAACCTCCCCTGGCGCAACCTGAGGCCGTTTCCTCTCATTCTAAAGGCTGTTTCCTTTGTCCAGGAGGTTCCTTAGAGGGGGCGAAGGGGAAACTGCCCCACGTGGCGATGACCTGGGCAGCCCCTTCGCCTGGGTGACAGAGCACATGAGGACAGCAGCAGGGCCAGGGAGGGGGGCGCAGGGGACCAGGCTACAGAGTTGGTGGTGAACACTCGCCTCGGTGGCCTGGTGTGGCTGGGGGACCCTGCGCGTGCACAAGGTGGACAGCAGGGAGGTACCCAACAGGACTGAGACTCTCCTAAACCCCCTGTCCTGTCTGCAGCTTGTGAAAGCAGGCAAGACCCTCTCCATCCCGGTCCCCAAGCCAGAGGGGAAGGATGTGCGTTGACCTGGGCTGGGTGCCAAGGCTGTGTGTCCCAGCCTGACGATGCTGAAGCCCTGGGAGGCAAATCTCAGTGTGCAAGACCCTAGCTGGCACTCGGGTGGGTCAGCGCTGCATGACTCTCCCCATACAATGCTGGGGCCAAGGCAGCACAGCCGCATTTATTACCTACCTCCCCCCCAAAGAACTGAAAGGGAAAATCAAATAATTTCAGGCTAAAAATCTGAGCAGAGGGGAGCAGCTTCTGGATTTTAAACACCAGCTGCTGTGATGCTATTGGTAACTAGATGCAGGCTCGTGTGCCACGTCTGCTGGAGCACACAGGGCCACGGAGCCCTTTCTGCCTGTGCAGCTCCCTTCCCACGGTGCGTGGGGAGCTGCAAGAACTCGGTCCTTCAGGGAGGAAGGCTCGAGGGCTGACTTTAACAGAGTCCTGTCTGAAACCCAGGGGCTGTTTCTTCTTTTAAGGGCCAGGCCTGCCTAATGACAAAGCCTGGCTGGTAACAAGGGTGGATGGGGGTGGGATGTACGTGTGCACATGTTGCGGGGACCGGCAAGATGGTAAGAGCAAGCAGTGGGATGCAGTTCCCTTCCTCCAGCCAAAAAAGTGAAAGGCCTCCGTGGGTTGTGCTGAGCAGGGAAATTGCTTTGTGCTGCCCGGCTTTGTGAGAGTTTAATTAACCATGCCGTGAAGGGGAAGAGGGAAAGAGAGCCCACCAGGCAGCGGGGGTTCTCTCTGCGCCTAGAAGACAGGCTGGCAGCATGGCATTTTGTCACTTTATTGTCAGACACTGAGCACTGATGCTGGGCTTGGTCCCACAAAGCTGCTATTGTCCATCTCCCGATGGAAACACTCACAAGCCCTCGTGTTGCGGTGCCCATCGTCTGCAGGCAGACCGGAGACTGGTGGCCTCCTCCCTCATTTTTGGCAGGTCCAGGAATCCCTTTGGGAGCCTCCTGGATGGCCCAAAGCAAGACCAGGGGGGATGCAAGTGGAGCCAGAGAAGAGAGACAGATATTTCTAGCCCAAACACTGAAATGCCCTTGGAAGAGGGACCCTGGAAGCACAAAGTGATGCTGGTGTGAAATGCCTCAGCTGGCCCGTATCAGTGACGGCCAGGGTGCAACTACCTTGTCTGACAGACGCTGGGCACTGCTACACTCGCTCCGCCGGTCCCCGGTGAGATTTGGCCCTTTGCTTCCCTTCTCAGCCCCAAACCAGCTGAAAAGACGCGGTGTAGTGACTGCAGGAACGACACAAGCCAGGAGCCCGTTTTCACAGCTGACCTCAACACTCACGTCTAGAGCTGCATCTCAGCTCCCCCAATGCCAACAATTCATCTCTCAGTGCAACCATCACCCTGAGGCCACGAGGTGCTCACCAAGCACAGAAAACAGAGCAATTCCTGCTCCTGCCTGATGACAAAACTGGCATCTCATGACACCGAGTGCCCCAGGACTTCAGCTGAAGCCAGCAGAAGTTACAGGCAGTCAGCATCCTGCAGGATCATGCTAGTAGCTCGGAAGCAACAGGGGGCACGAACAAGGTCCTTTTCCAGCCTGCGGATGCTGTGCACATGGCTCTGCTGACCTAATGACTACTATTTGGCCCAGTAATGGGGTAATTCAGTGAGAACCACCACCTGGAGGAAGCAGCACTTTGCTCAGGGCCTGTCACGCTGGGAGCTTGAACGGAATTCAGCTCATGTGAAAAGCAAGAAGAGTGGCTTTCCAGTGACCTTCCCACTCCTCCCGCAGCGCTTCACCCCAACAGATAGCATCACGGTCCTCGTCCCCGTCCAGTGCCAACCCTGCAGAAAGCTCTCTGACCACCTCAGCCGGTGGGTAGGGGCTCACCTTCAGCTTGTGCTCGTGCTCCTTGTTGACCCGGGACAGCAGCTGGGCTTTCCTTCTGTTGAGGGCGTCGATGAGGGCGTCACACTGGGCCACCAGGCAGGCCTCGAACTCCACACTGTTCTCCTGCGGGTCAGAGCAGAGCATCACAGCCCAGGGCATGTCTCCAGTTCAGTTGGGAAACTTGATTTTTTTACGATACCACATGGGCCATTTTTCTATCTGCAGCTGCACCACTGCAACACACAAATCCATACCGTTAGCACGTGGGGTGCTTACACCTTTGGCTCATGGCAAATGTGGTAGTGGCAGGTGAGGAACAGGTTTGGTTCGTCCTGCCACATCCTTGAATCTGCCTATGACAGAGACGGGAAGGGCTGGGGTCTCTGCTGCTCGCTCCGTGACACAGGCATCTTTAGGAGCAGCAGTTTTTGGGAGGGGTGCGGGGGATAATATGAAAAGGCAGGTGCTGATTGTGGGCCCCTTTGGGAGAGCACCCACCAAACCAAGCTGGGGAGATGGGGCAGAGAGCAGCTCACCCCCGTGGGAAGGGGCTGTTCCTCGGCCAGGAGACACAGTACCTGGATTTGCTGCACCATATTGCGGAGTTGGACCAGAAACTCTTTTGCTTCCTTGGCTCTGTCTGACAACCCGTTCAGGGCCTGGGAAAGCTGGCTCTGCAGGGGGAAGAAAGAGCAGGGTCATTTCCATGTCCTGGACTCATCCTTGTGCTGGAGGAGCCGATGCGTGTGTGATTTGGGCTGGGGATGGACTGCAGCCCAGCACTGCCTTCCCAGGGTTTGCAGCCTTCAGCAGCCCACCGAGGTGTCCTGCCCCTGCTGCCCTGAGTGTAAGGAGAGGAAAAGGAGGGTTAGCCATCATCATGGATGCCCTGGGTTTGGGAAGCAGATATTCAGTGTCCACCTCCTCCACAGGCTTCCCTGCGTGATCAGAGACAAGCCACATCCATCCTGGGTCTCAAAGTGAGCCAGTCAATACCTCCCCCGGACCTGTGCTCTCCAGGGAGCCAGACACCAAAAAGCCTGTAGGATCTGACCCGTGTCTGCTGAGGACGATCAGCAAAAGGGCACAGGTCAGGCCACCCGGAATCAGACCGAAAATCTCCCAATCCCTCCTGAAAGCTAAGGTAAAGCAGGGTCCTCCACCACCATGCAAAATACTGACTGCCCCTTTCTCCTCCGGTGCTAGGGGTGGGAGCGTACACCCACAGCCTGCTCCGGCCTGTGCTGAGCTGAGCTGCGTAACACGGTAATAACAGTGATAACGTCTTGTGCTTTTTCATCTTCCTGGCACTTTCTAAACATTAACTCCGGAATCTTCCCTTTTTGCTGTGATTTCAGTAAGAGTTATTATCTCAAGAGCTGGGCAAATCACCCGTGACAATTTACCTCTGGGAGAGATTTTGCCTCTTTCGTGGGCTGCAAAATACCTGCAAACACCACGCAGGTTTTGAGGTGTGATCTTTCTTTGTGGCAGACACAGAAGGGGGCCCAGAAGATGGCTGACGTCCCCAAATCTCCAAAAACCCAATGTGACCGTCCCTCCTGTGGTCAGGACGCTGGCACCGGGCTGGCACCTGCCCCGTTGTGCCATGCTCCCCCGGCCGCCGCCGCGGGGAGGGGGAGCAGCGGGAATGACGGTGCAGAAGGGATGCGAGGTCAGCGCAGCGCCTGCTGAGATGGCGCTGGGCTGAAATCAAGAAAAAAAGAATTGCTATCGAAGAGATGAGGTAACAAACAAATGGCAACCATTTAATGGCCCAGAAAATGACCTTACTGCTGCTTCCCCAGGAGATGTTAATATAACCCTAGTGATTTCTGCATTTCCTTTGTAATTTATCGTGCCCGAGTCACCAGGATGTGGAGCTAATCAGCGAATGCATCTCTAATAAAAATGGGATTGCTAAGTCAGCTCAGCAGGGCCTCCCCATCTCTCTTCCCTCCCCTCCCCGAGCAAAGGCTGGAGGATAGCCGAGGTCGGAGCCTGAGCTGCTCCCCAGGGCGCTGGCAGCCCCACGCACCGCAGGGACGACCCAGCCCTGCCTCGTCCTCTCCGCTGTGCCCCTGCAAAAGCCTCCGTCGCCCTGCCCCACGCTTGCCCTCCACAGCCCACACACGGCTCCAGCCCTCCCAGATTTAGGAAGACGTCTTAAGCCCGGCAAGGTGGTTTGCTGAGAACCGAGTGCTGCTGGGCCCTGGTCTTTGATAACGCAGGCAATTAATAGAGAAAATCAGTGGGATTTTGTTATGTTTATAAGCTCCTCATTAAAATTGCAGCACGGTGGGTTTTTTCCTTTAATAAAGTCTTTAGAAGACTGCTTTTTCTATCAACATACATTTCAGAAAGGGGATCTTTATATCAACATAATTCTTTGAGGCTTTCCTAATGGGAAAGCATTTTAAATGTGCTCTTAAAATTTAATAAGAGCTCTGCAATGCCAGTGTGCACTGTCCATTTGCAGCTCCTTCACCTGGGACACCCCCAGTCTCACAGCACAACGGCTTCCACGGCACAGCCACAAGAAGTCCGCAAAAAGATGGTCCATCTCCTTCAGAGCCTCCCTCCTCGAGGTCTTACACTGCATCCCCCTCCTCAGCTCAGCCCTTCCCTCTGCTCGAGATGTTCTCAATGCCACCAGTGCCTGCAAGCAAGGGACAGGTTTATGAACTAGTCAGGAAACTGTATTTTTTCCATAATTGTAAGGTTGATGAGGTGCACAGTGGACACCCTGCCCCGTCCCTCGTCCCCGGCATGGAGACTGGGGTGCTGACACTGGCCCGCCCAGCTCACAGTGATGTGCAGTAAGAGCTAGCATCACCTGCGCAAAGTTGGGGTGTTTTCAAGTTCCTATGTATGGGTGGCCACAGGCTCCTCACTGGAAAGGGGAGCTCTAAGGGTTGGTTTTTCATTGGCATGAGCTTCATGCTGATCTCCAGGAAGGGTCCCCATGACGCCGAGGCTCTCCTGGAGCAGAGGCACGTTCCTGGACATGTCCCCTTTGAAACAAACATCTGCCCAGCTCTCCTGCTGCATCCCTGCTGCTTACGGCAAGAGTCACCCCGCTGGGGACTCAGAGCTGCAAGCCATCACGGTTAGCCCATTAAACAAGGTTAATTAACGCTACATGACAACGGAGCGCGTATGGGAATGTGCACAGGGACTCGCAGGCATGCCTGAATGTATTCATTAAGGGCAGCGCTGCAGGCACAGTGACAACGTGATTCATAACCATACGCCACAGAAAAACAAAGTCCTTCCAGTTTCTGTTATTGTGTTAATAAGTCAGAGGCTGCAGAGAGAAATTAAATGACTGATTGGGTCCGTAAATTCCACAGGTACCTTCCATGACCCTTGGAGCAAACCCAAGCTTTAATGCAGTCTATCGCTTCGGAGCAGGATTTAATCACTGGACATGGAAGGCAGAGTCACAGGTTTCCCACAAGCGTGTGATCTACATGGAGGGAGCAGGAGATGGAGACACAGGAGGAGTCCTCCATGCGGGAGCAGGTGGTGAGAAGGACCTGAAGCCTTGTCTCCTGTGGGTGCTGTACCAGATCACAGGGAACAAGATGCTGTTAATATTTCTGTCACACGCTGGAGGGATTTCCCCTCCCTGTGAAAAGCTGGAATGTTGCACTTTGCATCTCCATGTGGAAACAAAATCTTTGGGGCTTCTCGGGGCCGGGAACCCCACAGAGCAGGGGATGGTGGATGGAGACCCAGCGTCCTCCAGCGTGCAGTGGGCCAGCCAGCTCGCATGCGCTGGACCGGAGCGGAGTCCCACTCCGAGCGAGCACAGACAGGGGAATTAATGAGTGTGAAATGAAGAAAAATCCCATTTAGCGGTGTCTTAAAATCAAGTGAATTTGTTCTTTGCAGAAAGCTGGCCTCTTTTTCAATGCTCTTGTTTCAAGGCAGTAAGAAGAGACCTCTGTAATTCACATTAGCATTAACAGGAGCTAAGCATTTAAATCTCTGTCCCCGGAGCACTTAGGAGAGAATCCGTCCCCTCTTTGTGCTCTCTAATAGCTCTGTAACCCTCCTTCCCAGGCACGGCTTACAAAGGGATTTCTGTCACTCTTTGATTCTCCCTTGTCCCAGAGCACGGGTGAGCACAGTCGGGTGCAGAAGGCTGGTGCCTCAGTAGGGCTGAGCAGGCTCCAAGAAACGGAGAAAAGCACCATTTTAAACTCCACGTCATCTCTCAGATGGAGCTGGTCTGGTTCTCCTCCCGTATAACCCAGCTGCCAGTGATGGAGCTCCTCCAGGTTTACCTTGAGGTGAGGAAGGAGCTGAGCCTCTTATTGTAGGAGGCGCCAGGTCCCACTCGGCATTGGATGCTGGATTTGCGGAGCCAGCTCTGTGTAACAGCTCCATCTGGCACAACGGGAAAAATCTGGAGTTAACTAGCGTTGGCCACCAACAAAAGCGAGGAACAGTTGCTCTTATTTCAAACCCCAACTCACTCGCAGGCTCTGACACTAGAGAAAGTACCTGGAGTACTCGGGAGAGATGCCAGTCTCCTTCTCTGGTCAATGGAGAGGAGGGCTCCTCTGCAAGCCAAAAACCAATTGCTAGCCCAGGTCCCCTGGCCAGCTGGAAGTCCCGTTCCCCATGCCCCTGCCCACCCAGGAGCTGTGCAGCTCTGTGCTGCCTGCCCCCAGCCCGCAAGGGCTGCACCCACACGCAGGAAAGCAAGCTTGAGTGTGATGGTGAAGGGTCACAAATTCAAACGAGATCGGGAAAGGACACTTCTGCTCAAGGTCAGGCCAAATGTACGCCCCAGTGCAGCATCTTCCGTACAACGGTGCTTTTCCAGCCTCCAGCAGTTCACAGCTCAGGAACCTCATGAGGCTGGCACAGCTTTCACTTAGCCTGTGTAACCTCCCTTGGATTTCTCTTCCACAGAACCGTCCTGTCTCCTTGTGGACCAACATAAGCTTTTATCACCCACAAGGTCCCGTAGCAAGGAGTTCACAGCTTAAGGTTAGATTTATGGTTGGACTTGATGATCTTAAAGGTCTTTTCCAGCCTATATGAACCTATGATTCTAAGTGCATGCCCTGTGAAAGCCACCTCCTCCGGGCTGCTGCAGACCGTGTCTGCTTCAAAGGCCATTTGACCCGAGACTTCAGATGACTGCACCTCCTTACCAGCCGCAGACGGGCTGTCCCTAACTCCCTGTCACCCCAGGACAGAAAAACTCACCCCAAAAGAGCTCTCGGCATTACACTGAGAGCCCAGTACCTGCTCTGACATCCCAAGTGTTGCAACCAGCTCCTGTTTCTTCTCTCCTTCCAACCAAGTCATCTCGCAGCCAGTTCCTATGCTGGAGCATCCATACGGAGGTAAAAGAAAAGAGGAATAAGGCATGGCAAGAAAAGATGCTGTTCCCAGCTGTTCTGCTTGTACCCTCGAAAGGATGAAGAGCTGTTACGGATGCCGGAGTTGAAGTCATGTGCTTCTTTATTTTAATTAAAGCATAGGACCTACAGCCTTTGAATCTTGAGGCAAGCTTACTGTATGTGATGCCTGACTAATTAAAATGGGATGTTTAATTAAAACTTGTATTCAGTCAGGAAGCTGATGAAGCTAAACTGCTGCTAATTGGCTTTCGGCTCCAGTCACGAGAGCCTGACTTTTGCATTCAACGCTG